CCACACACACACACACACACATACTTCTCCTCCACTATATCTAAGGATAAACATGAGCTCTGTCCCAGAAAAATAAAATAAAAAGGGCCGTTACCTGTTAGACTTCCTCTCCACCTGCATTAACGTAGGAATAGAGCTACACCTGACATTTAAACACATCTCCCGGATTCCTCTCCCTTGGTTTGTTTCGCACATTCGCTCCCACTAATAATATCTACGGGATAATTAACGTTGACGGGAAGCGCTCGCTTTCGTCAGCTGTTCAGGCTTAAAGTATCCTCATCAATCCATATTGACAAGTGGGTTGCAGCCCGAGCTGCTTTCCACCTGCTACGTGTGAGTTTATTTTTTGTGCTATACAAAAAGCATTTTCTTCTGTCATTTCCCTCCTTTTCTTCCTTCCTTCCTTCCTTCCTTGTTCACTGCCTCACCTCGCCTCCCTTCCACCTTTTCCATATGTCGCTCATTTCAGCTTTAATCCCAACATAGCACCTTTCCTTTCTCCCTCCTCTACCTCGCACCTCCCTTACACCACTTCCCTCGCCTCTCCCCTCCTCAATAAGGAACCCCACACCCCCCTCCTCCTCCTCTTCTCCCCCGTCCATGCCTCCCCTCTGCTCTTTCCACCCCTCACTCCTTTCCTCCTAACCCAATAACCCTCGCCTCTCGAGGGCTGCTCCTCGCCTCTCCCCCCCCCCCCACGTCTCTCGCTGCCTCTCCCCCCCTGCGGCGAGCCCCTTGGCGAGGGCCGCCGTGTACAGGATGCTCCCCCCTGTGAGAGGTCAGTGGTCTGGCTGTTTTTTCTCCGTTCTCCCCCTCAGCGATTCTCCGACCATGACCAGAAGATCACAGAGTCTTTCATTCACTCTTCAACAGGCCGCCAAAGGGGTTGAATATTTATTTATATGTCCGATATTGTTTCACAGATGCATTTTTTTTTGCCCCCTGGTTATTGTAGACGGCTGCGCTCTGTGCTCTGCGTTTGATCCCTTCCGTCGCACAGGGGGAATTTATAGCCACCCTGACACGGGTCTGTAGCATCTCTCAAGCATGAATATAAGCATGAGCCCTTGTAATTACCGCTAAACAAGGCTACATGATGCCAGCACAGCAGTGGGGCTGTGAGTGCTATTATTTCTCACGATTAAGACATTGTTTCCACTGAATGTTTCACCGCCACAAAACAAAAAGCACGTCCCTCTCTTTGTGTCTCTGAAGAGAACAAACAGAATGCACGAGAGAGTTCCTGAGTATGACTCTTCGATTTATGACCGTATCAAATAGAGTCATTTGTGAAAGTGTATGCAGGAAACATGACTAATGCCCTTTAGATTTTCCAAACCTAGAGTGCAGAAGGCCTGTATGTGTTTCATGTCTGTGACAGTGGTGGAAAATAAAAAGGCATCAGTTTGAGATTTAGCATCTTGTGCATTTATCACATAGTTTGGCTAAAAGTCTCAAAACTTCACGCCCTTTTTTTTTTCCTCCTCAACTTCAATGTTTCTGTGGCGACTTCTTCTTGGCAAAGATATATAATAGCCAAGTATTCAACTAATGAAATAACCATTTTTACTATGTATTGCATTATGGAGCCACGACAGTAGTGTTTAAGCAGGTAATCAAATTAGCAAAAGAAAAAAATATGCGGTCTTAAAATGCAGCTTTAAAAAAGAAAAGTTGATTTTTGAATAAGGCCAGTGTGATGTCAGGTTTAAAAAAGGGAAAATGTGGCTTGAATATACTTGAGGAAAACATGTATTTCCCTTGTAGCTCATTCCATAGGGCAAACTAATTAGTAAATCAATTTGAATGCTGTTTTCAGCTGCAAGAGATGGTATCATTTATTATTTTCATCCCAGCTGGACCTGTAGCGACACACACACGCACACACACACAAAAATACTTAATTGCTGAACCTTTTAATTTAACATCAATTTGTTGAAATGTACTTTTGCGAAAATGAATCATAATAGAAATTATCTCCGGAATTGCAAATCATAATGTATGCTGGTGGCTGGAGGACAGAGAAATCTGTGCTGTCGCCAGGGCGAATAATGAAAATGTGTCATCTTGGATGAGGGAGGCAGACGCACACTGCTCTTCAGAGAATTCCATTTTCTAATTCTCTGACAGACGCAGAGGGGGAGCCGAACACATGTACCTCCCCCTCACACACACCAATTACCGCAATGAGCAAATGAAAGGTTGTGTCCCATCAGGGCCACCGTAGGGGGTAGAGAGAGAGAGAGATACACACACATACATTACCGACAATCATTCACCACTGTTGATAATCCCAGAGTTGTCTGTTCGGTTTTAAAGCTTGCATTCGCTCTCCTTGTTTTTATTTGTATTTTCTTTTATTCTTCTGTCTCGCCCTCGATTTCTTTCTTGTCTCCATTTCCCCATCATGCCATTTTGCCCACCACACAGATTTTCCCTCCTCCTCCTCAACTGCCATCATGCTCAGTGACATTTTCACTGACTCAGTATGAACAATAATAGCAGTCAAAGTATGTAGAAAGAGTCTGTCGGGTCAATCAGGATGAGTTGCAGCTTCACAACATCCCGACTGACTGACTTGACCAACCAGCAGGGTGCTTACAGTCAATACAGCTATTATATTTAGTTCCAATCGTCATCATTTTGCCATCAATCGTTCAGGAACAACATCCCACCCGAGAGCCTCTGCGGAGTCTGAGGGATACAGAAATGAAACCTAAAAGTTAGAATCTTCCGTGTCTAATTAACGACCGCTCCGCCTGTGAGTCTCCGGCTCAAAAAAAACGAACTGTGAGTCTGAGAGCAGCGACGCCCACCTGACCGCGTCTCTGCGTTCTAAGTTAACCGCGGGTTACTGCTAATGATCAGCCTACAGCGACCCTTGATGGGCCGCCATCTCTCTGTCTGCAGCCCTGCGTGGTATTTAGAGAGACCCTGGAGGTCGAGAGAGAAAATGAGAGAAAGACGAGGTAAAAAAAAAAAAAAATATATATATATATATATATATAGAGAGGAGGAGATAGAGGAGGAGGAGGAGGAGGAGTGGAGAAGACCACGGGTGGAGGTGGCGGCGGTGGGGGTGATTGTTAGACAAGTGACCCAGGTGATGAAATGACTGCCACGCTGTGCAGGAAGTAGCCACGTCCGGCTCTGCTCACTTCCGCTCAGTGGTCATTAACCCCCCCCCAATCCCCCCCAGAGCTCCCCGCAGCTCTAAATTCACTAGCACAAAATCAATCGATAGGCTGCAGGTGGAGCAAAACGTGGGAGGACCGGAACTGTGGATGAGGTGAGAGAAGGGGGGAGGCAGGGCTGTTAAAGGGGGGAGGAAAAGAGAGAAAATGGAGTGGAAGGAGAGGACAGAAAAAAAGGGAGGGGAAGGAAAGGAGTCAAGAGGGAAAGGAATGGAAAGGGAAGAAGAGGGAAGTGAAAGGACAGAAGAGAGGATGTACGCCTCACTGTTTCCATAAATTAGGGACTCCTCTCAAATCCACAGATTATTTTCCATATTGCTCTCTGTAACGTAACATTAAAAGAAGATTTAGCGCTGGTTTGTACAACAACGGCTGCAGATACATTTCCAGTGAGATGTTCCGTATACGTAGTTTTACTGCTGCAGCAACAATCTTGACGACCCCTTGTGTTCTCGCGGCCGGTCACGTTTTGCCCCCGTGGCATTTGAGTTGTTACGAGTCCCGGGAGCCCAGCGGTCACCCGTCAGATGCAACGTAGGGACCCAATGTACTGTTTTAATGCGAGAGTCCCTTCTGAGCGTCATCAAAGAAGAGCAGAGAGACAGCAAATCATGAGCCATCTGTCGGGCCCTTTTTAACCGCTCAGCTCAGGCGATGCATTGTAAGGCCCCGGAATGCAGTCGAATCTTTGCATCGTCGCTCAATAAGTCGCCAGATGTTCACAATGCGCGCCGCAAAGTGAAAGTGAACAGAAAGTTCTTCCCTTTTCTTTGCAATCACCAAGGCTCCTCATCACATTTCTCCATCGATAACAAAACAAAACGTTTCTTTCAAGGTGTTTCTATTTCAGTGCATTTCGTCCACGATAACGATTCATCAATTCACTTTTTTTTTTAAAAAACAAGAGCCGGTGGGGGCAGGAGAGCGTGCCGGCGGCGTTGACATACGTGACATACAGGATGTACGCGCAATAATGGGCTTTTCTCGAGACCTGTTGATTTGTCCCGCCCCCCCCCCCCCCCCCCCCCTGTTGTGTCATCTGCACACAGTACGACTTCATTTTTTAAATATATATATATTTTTTATAATAATGCTTGGCCCCCGTGCATCACCACCACATCAAGAGTCCTGTCCGTGTGAAGTGGCGGCGTGAATTAAGATGAACTTGAGACGCTCTCTTATTTCTTTTGCCAACATTAACATTGTGGTCTGTTTGAAATCATCATCATGGACCATTTGATTATCTTTCCGTGCATGTAAAGGGAAGTTATTCATGTCGGATATGATCAAAAATAAAAGGAGCCCCACCCCCACCATAATTACATTTCACTAACTGGCCTTGACAACCAAATTGAACATTAGTCTAATACAGAACATCACCAGAAGAGAAATGAAAGCCTGCCGTCCCTGAACACCGCTGTCTTCCCCCAGTTATTTCTGTCTTGGGCTCTGAGTGAAAGGACCTTCATCCCAAAGTGAAGAGCACAATTTATCCCGCTCTAATGACATAGAAGTATTCAGCAGGCTGCCCATAATTGTTGGACCAGGGCCGGGAGGATAATAGTCCAAAACTCTCGCCCTCCGCGCCTTTTCTCCTGCACAAAGTCTGAGTACGTGTGGAGACCTGAGTCCTCCAGAAAGACGGAGATAACCAGGGCCAGTAAGTTATGTGAACTGTGGGGAGCCCATTA